CACCGGGTAACACTTGGCTTATAGCACACATCAGTGCCACAGATCTAGGTCGCATCAGTCTCCAGAAACTTGTGCGCCGATGAATACTTTATTTGTGGTACAGGTACACAAGTGAGAATATGAAGAAAGCACCCATCTGCAACAAGGACGAAATGAAGAGGTGATACATTGTGCTAATCCAGAACTTACATGCACAGTACATGTGGATTGAAGTGGAAAATGAACTTATTTCCCTCTCAATAGCTCCCAATGCATATGGATTGGAGGGGATTATCCTCTATTCAAACTAGGCAGTAAGGCAAACAAGGCTAGGTAGTTAATACAGTATGCAAGATGCAACCTATGATACTGTCTACGCAAGTGAATTTAATGATAAAGATCATATAGAGGTGAAGCTGTAAAAGGTGCAAAAACAAATTCCGTTGTGTCTACTGAATAGCAAATGGAATCAGATCTTACTGTTGAAAATGAGGCAGTGTAGTATGGGTAAGCTGATGTTATGAATCTCTCATACTCATTATGCCTGTAAGGGCGTACTGGAATCTGCAGCAGACAAAAACAGATTATCGAATGTGAAAAGTCACCAAAAAAATAACTATACAAGTGGATGTGGTTTGACTAAAGTAATCATGCTACTGTACAAACTCCAAAGAATCATGTCAAGAGACTAACCTGCTTTGTAAAAGACAGACCAGTATATCCCAATCTTTGGTACTCAACTTTGAACTGGAAAACTCCATAAACATCAGGAACTTTGAAGGATGTTGAATATAAACCCTACATTGGGAGAACATGATAATTTAGCCACAGCAATCCATCAATCTCACAATATATTTTAATACAACACAGGTTATCGTAATAGTGCGCCACCTTGTTGTCAGTCGACATAGTTTTCAGAACATAAGGACTCATCATAAAAAATTGAAGTTGCACATCATCAGCAACATATGGCTTCCAGCTTGTTCCAGACCATTCATAGATCTCAACAGAGTATTCCTTGATGGGGAAATTTAAATTAGCACATTTAACTTGTCACAGCTCAACAGCAAGTACACATCAAGGCAAAAGAATTACCAGGTCATCATTTATGCGGTACATGCCTGGTTCATTGGTCTCCCCAACCTTGTGATGCTTAACATTAACAGCCTGTGAATTTGAACGTGACAAAGGTTACGCCATCCCGTTTATTTGAAAAACATCAATCCCCTAAACAAAATTACAAAGGAAAATAAGGCAATATGACCTTTAGATGCCCCCTCTCATGGAAAACCCATTTGCTTGTCTCGGTCACAAATTGCTCATTTCCAGCCCTCTCATATCTGTACAATAGCATGTAATAAATGACTTCCAGAAGTATGTAAGAGTAATAATATGAGAGGTTATGTTCTGTTCCAGGATATGCGGTACTATAATTTGCAAATATCCAATAATTAGCAATATGAAACTTATTTGCAATCCTGCGCACAGAAGTATAACATGCCATCATCCAATATCTCATGTTATGGTTTCCTCCTTTATCAAGTGGTGCTCTGTTGCCTTGTCAAGAGTTAATTACAAGATAAAAACTTCAAATTTGGCATTAGGGTAGGTCATATAGAACTTAGAAAGGCGGATTTTTTCTAACAATCAGATGACGCTTGCCTACGCAAGGATTGAAGGCATTAACAGAAATAGCAGCCAAAAGATCTTGATATTTTCTAGCTGAAATCTATAGTCTATTAATCTCAGCAAAAGCTTCAAAAGTAAGCTCACCTCGTTTTGCTACCAGCCTTTTGAACACCAGACTTCAGGAACCTGAATAAATGGAACAACATAAGCACTTTATGGAAAACCAGGGGAAACTACTTCATGTATATATGATAGCATACCGGTTGCTAAACAGATCAAGTGATCCAGATATCAGCACCCGAGCATTATTTCTTGCCTGCAAGAAGACAAAAAACTTATCAGAGAGATTGAATGGCAACATACAACTGGTAATACATGGATTCTGGCAAGCCAATCATACATTTAATGAATACACAACAATTAACAATGGAATGACTAGCCCACTAATAATAATAAGAAAGTAAAAACAAATTTAATTACCTGCATAACCGAAACCAATGATATAGCTGACCCAGTGAGCGATGGAGGAGACGACAACTTAGTCTTTGGGTTAGCTGAATATGCTGATGGAGAGGCAGATAGGACTTTCAGAACCTAGCAATGCCCAAAGACAGGGGAGAATGGGGGATTATAGGAAAAAAAAACATAAAAGGTACATATTTTACAGCAATAAAACAGAGTTATGCAACTAATAGTTGGACATGCAAATACCACTGCTCACAATTCAAAGTACGTACCAAACTGTTTGATGGATTAGCCATGTGTCCAATTCCTCGAAACAATACAGGAGCCTAGAAATATTGAGAAAAATATTTAAAAGACAAATTTACATTTATAAGAACTGCCAAAAATGAAAAAGGAAGTGCTAGCCAAAAGAACTTGGCAAGTTTACACCATATCCTCATGAACACCAATGTTAACAAATCGCATTATAGCTAAGTCTACTCTAGTCAGTAACGAACTGCAGGTATATAAGTAGCTAATTCATAATTGGAACAGACATATTTTAGGATATAAGTATCTTAGCTAATACTAGCAATTGGATAAGCATGGAAAAACTCAGTACAGCAACCAAGACTGAATATAAACATGGCACAAAATTATGGAACAGCAAATTGAAGACATAATGTATGGGCACACTTTTACTGAAAATCTAGGCAGTATGACCAACACCCAACAAGATTAGGTCAAGATTATCGTTGTTGTAATGTTGCGATAGCAAAGATGAATAAAAGGCCTGCTAACTATGAATGCTTAGTATATGAAATTATGGATACCATGAAGCCCCACGCACAAAACAGAGCTGTCTATTGATAAATTTAGAATACGAGTGCAGACAGGTTCAATGTCAACTCGGTCTAATCCAATGAACATAAAAATGTGTAAAATGTCGGAAGGGTTATGAAGATTCTTAGCATCACTTCTAACCTCAATCTTTTTAGACCCCAGTATCACATCAGACTGGATAAGATCATCACCAGCAATCAAGGTGTGATCACCTTCAACATCCGTGACGGCATAGTTAATGTGATCAATAACCATTGCCTCTGGATCCTGAAATCATCAAGACACAAACTGTTGGCTTGCTGAGGTCAACGAAAATGTTAAGATAGGAAGATGCGAGGCCACAGGAATTGCTTGCCTCATCAAAATCAACCCCGCACTCTGTTGCAATGCCACGAATAAGATCAGAGGCGGAGGAATCTGCCGCCAGGATCATGTCATGCCCAGCATCGATAAATTCGAGGACTGCGTTCTGGTCCACTGATCCACCAAAACCTGCCATGGAATAAAGACTGGCTTTAGAAACAAATAGGGTTGAATCAAGTGCTATACCATCATGGGCAGAGATCAAGGCCCATCCAGTAGTTTACTTCAAACAAGAGCGGTAATAATCTCTAGTGAATCGCGACAGGCAACAATTGATACCCCTGAGATCCACGGCTTTCAACTAGAACTAACTGACTACGGTCAATTTTCAGGTGAGCCTTATTGGATGAATCCTCCGGTAACGGGAAATTCTATTCCGAAATCCCGAATTTGCCATTAGCCGCAACAGATCACAGAACACCACCACTCCACGAGCAATCGAGCACGGACCAGATCAGATAAGCAGTCAGACTCCGCACCCGAATCATCTCTATCCCCGTCGAATCTATCACCAGAACACTCCAGCAACACAGATCGGATCTCCGAGAGGCGAGGAAGGAAAAGGAGCAATTACGTGGGGTGGAGGGGGCGAAAAGCACGAGGCCGTCGTAGAGGTACTGGCCGTAGCGGTGGAGCGAGAGCTTGGGGTCGTCGGCGAGGCGGAAGTCGAGATCGAACCCGCGCGCCTGGAGCGAGCCGAAGAAGGCCGAGTGCGACGACCGCACAGCCAGGTCGTCCAGGAGGACGAGCAGCCGCCGCCCGCGGGGCCCCTCTTCGGCGCCCTCAGCTGCCGCGAGCGCGAGGAGAGACGCGAAGGCAGCGGCGAGGAGGAGGAGGAGGGCGTGGCGCCGCGTCGCCATTGCTGCTGCGCAGATCTCGTGGGGTGGGGGGTTTTGGGTTTGGAGTGGCGCAGCAGCCAGCAGCGACGGAGACGACGACGACTCGGAGCGAGGAGCTATAGGCGTGGCAAGGTGGAGAGGAAGGGAGCCGTCTGGGCCGTCCGATTGGAGATCGAATGGCCCGGAGCCCCGGATCGAGTTCGAGTTTTGTTTGCTGCGGGTCCGAAGCGTGCAAAGGGGTCTGTCTCTGACAGGCGGTCCCACGTGAGACAGTTAGCATTTTCCTCCTTTATTTCTTTGCAGAATTTGCTTCCATATAGTTTTAACTTTTATTTTATATATATTAATAATAGTGGGTATGTTTCCCCAAAACTGATAAGTGATGAAACCAAACTGCTAGCTGCGCACTCACTGCTTTCATAACCAACAGAAGCAAAATCTCCAGAGATTTTTAAAAAAATACACAGAAAGATTTTCCCGCAATAATAATCCAGAAAGATAACTCATCAGTGAAACATTATTAGTGATCTGTTCAACTACCAAACCAACTACATGTAACATCAACAATTCAGCATGGTTCAGGTCATATCATTTGCTTCTCTCTGTGTTCTCTGGTCAGACAGATATAGTGCAGGAAGCCATAGAAAAAATGGCTTGCTGGATGGGTAAGGGTAATCGGCACAAAACGGAAGGTCCTCTTATCATCTTCAAATCAGCTTGAACAAACGTTGCTCCACACTTCTCCGTGGCACAATTGCCAGAATTTCAATCAGAAACTCAGAATGGCCCAGGACGGTATGACCAGATGTTCTGAATGCTGATCAAGGCAGTATCTTCAGATCATCACACAAGCTCCCGCTCAGGATGCCGAGAGGTTCTGAATGGTGATCAAGGCAGAGCTTTTCATATCATCACACTAGCTCCTGCTCCTTGAAGCTGGTTAATTTCGCGTTCTCTCTGTCGTGCTTGAACACAAGGTACAAGGGGCTGTAGAACAGGACACAGACGCCGAAAGGCACGATCATCATGGATGGTCAGCAGCCCTCTTGAGAGCGCATACGCCCCTTCCGCAAGGTTCACAGTCTTGGTATCGTAGCCATAAATCTTCTCGGTGACTAGGCCCACAGCGGGGGCAGCCAGCGAGGCGAATGAGCCCTCGAATGCACGGTCGAAGGCATAGATCATGGTGCGGTGCTTGGGAGGGACCACCTCAGCGAACATAGGGTTGTTTGCCGAGGTGGCGCACCAGCTTATCGTGATGCCCATGAAGAAAAGCGTGACCGCGAAGGCGTACCAGTAGTCAACTGACTGGGGGATGACTGTGAGGAGGATCGAAGAAAACGGGATGCCCATGAAGGCACTGAACTGGGCGCACATGACACGTGCCGAATCTGGAAAGTACTTTGACAGGTGGTCTGCTATCACACTCCAAGAAATGCTCCGCTGGCACACCCGATGGCGAAGAGGCTGTTCAGTGCTGCCGAGCTTTTATTGTCAAAACCTAAAGAGTGTTCAAGGATGTTAGGCTTCAATTTTAAGAGCGTTGTTATCAGATTTTTTAGAAGTATATATATCAATATATGGTTGCTATCCTACCAATGAGTTCAAACCACATTGTGAAGAAAACTATAGCAGTCCACGGCAATGAGCCAATGATCCCTTGCAGGACAATGATCTGAAATGTCTTCACTTTCATAACATATCTTGTTGCCACCCAAGAATCCCTCCAGATAGAAGGCGGAGGAAGAACATCTTTGCTTGATAAATGCAACCTGGAAGACAAGGATAAAGTTCAAATTCAATTATAGCACCAGTCCAGATCCCATGTTGATTCGGCTACAATGCAGAAACCTACTAGAAGCGCGCTCGAATAACATAAGAGTTCCTAAATGTGGTTTTGCCACACAAGAAATGCAAAAATAGTTCAGACTGAAAAGGACAAAGTAATGAAACATACTGAAAACATGCAACCCTGGTTTAATTCCTACAACAAAATGAAGAATGTTTAATGGAATAGCACACTCTTGTACGTTCAAGAAAAAAAAATGAAGCATCATGATGAGATTCTATCTGGCAGAATCAGAATCTTTTTTATATGCATCAAAACATGATCTGGTATGACACCCAATTACAAGCTATGTGAGTTCCTTTTTTCCCCGCGAGATGGCTATGTGAGTTCTATTTCGCTAGTAGTATTCATTAATGAACCCCTGCAGCTAGGTGAGATGAAAAGAATGGCACACCTCTCATAGTCGTCTTCGTCAAGAAGGCGATTGCCAGGTATTCTTCTTGGATCAGTTGCATATAAGTACACAAGAATTCCAATTATCAAGCTGACAGTGCGACCATCATAAATGCAACACGTCATCCTGGGAATCCCCAATAGTCCTTTCCAGCCATGATTGTTGCCAAAATACTACCACCTATACCACCTACAGCACCAATGAGGCTTAACAAACCGAATCCTGCACCACGTGTTTTAGCTATCAGCGATGAACGACTGAAGCGCTGGTATTACAATGGCAAGCCCAAGGCCATTTACAGCTCTCCAGAATGCAACCTGCCTAAAATGCTGGCTAACACCGGCAGTTCCTGTTGATAAGGCCCAGAAAACAGTCCCTATTGCAAGCACTGTTGGCCGATCATAGTGCAGAGCAAGGATACCTGCCAAGGGAGATGCTATTGACTTCAGAAAGTTCATTGCAAAGGTGAGGTATCCCAGATCAGTAGGACCAGCATTGAAGGATGCACTGACTTCCTTGTAAACTGCTGGAAGGAGATTCTCATCAGCACGCTCCATAATTGAAGCCAGATTGATGAGGATGAAAGATACAGAGAAACCAAGTATCTTCTTTGATCTGCAAGAAAAAGAAAAGAAAAATACCAGGGTTATGCTAGATAATGGAACAGTAAATTATCTAGTACCTGAAACATCCTCAATTTTTCGCGAAGGGAAAATCCGCAGAATGAATTATAATATGATGAAATCGATAGTTGATTCCATCATATTATCATATATCAGTCGATATCACAGTCATACATCGTAAGATTATAAGAATACAAGATATTACATCACTGGGGAACACACCTATTACAGAGTTAATCTAGCGGAAGACTATCGAGTGAAGGCTTTCCCTTTACGGGTCGTCATCAGAGTTGGCGTAGTGCAGCGTAGATTCCATCTCCGAACCAAACTTGAGCGTAGGCACGAGACCTCCTAATCCTTCTATAGTCAAGATCTACGAGATGCAGAAATCACACACCGCCCGGATGTGTGCAGGCCATGGTCAGCACCGATGAGCTTTAGTGGAAAAGATAAAACAAGAGGATCTGGCGATCCTAACATTTGGCTGTGGTTTACATCCTTAGCGCATGAGAAGTAAGTAACAGTAGTAATGTAATAATAATGTCCAGTTTTTAACACATTCCCAGCCACACACATCCACCTCCATCCATATCCATCCACCAACCATCCATCCCAAATCATCTCCACTCCACCACACCTTATCTCATCTCACACACTCAGGTCGACGGGCCAACTCCCTCTCGGCCTTGTCTCAACGGCCCGCAGCCCCAAGGCTCACGACCGGAAAATACCCCAAACCCTGGAGGGAGAATAGAAGGACTCATCTCCTATCTAGTTTAAGCGAAACCCAGGAAAGGTCCATAGCCGACAAGTCGGCATATGTATCGATCGATCAACCATACACTCTGCAGAGGTTTCACATACCCACAAGATAGCCATCCTCGACGGTGCCCCGTCTAGGCAGATTCCGGCCGCTTGCTAGCCTAGAACGATGCCACCCTACCTCTCGACTGACCTAGAACATCCCAAGTCTAGTGCTGGATGGCTGACATCTGTGAGTCATAGACGAGCCAGGGGCCCACCGGATGTCAAGAGCCGGTCCACAAGGCCTCCTGAAGTCTCGGAAGGGTGGGGGGGGAAACCAGCACCCCATACCTCCTTGCACACGTTAGCCTAGCAGATAGTGGCATCGCTCTACCAAGTAGTCCGACCGTCCCGCACCATATAGGGGCGAGTGGGATGTAAAGGATTCCCAGTGAATCTGAGTACTAGTAAGTCCTTAGGGGTGACCAAGCCGAATGTCTTCATTAGGGTTTCCATTTACCGTGCCACCAAAGACCTCCACCCGAGCTCCACCTCTCCGAGGTTTACACCCAAGGCCACCTCCAATTACCATTTACCCGTCACAGTATTCCATATCCAAGTGCCCGTGTAGCACCACATGGCAAGACTAGCCCAGTGCTCGTCGTTATTCCATTTCGGTTGACACAACCCTCACTCTCCACGCAACCAAGACACACGCAAAGACGCTCACACACCACCAAGTCCGACACCCCTAGCCAAACCATTCCCAGGTTGTTCACCACCAAAGATCACATCCCCGACATAATGCGAAGTGGAGTTAATTAATAAGTATAGTGGTGTAATTTGCAAGCTAGCGAGCAAGTAAGCATATATAAGCGGCGAATCGCGCAAAGCAGGTGACGTGGTAGAGTGGGTTGCATCGAGGTAATAATGGCTCGGTAGTAGCATGCATCAAAGTACTAGCAAAGGAATAATTTATAAAGCGCTAGCGATTCTAGATGTTACGCAATGTCTAATAGGATTCTCTAAAAGAGGTGCTTTGCCATGACACACCGTGATGTAGAGGTAGTAGTGGTACAATTCTCCATTCGTTGGCGTTCCATTAGCGGGGTCTCCTCCTCCTGTGTTGACTCCATTCCACAGTCCTTGTCGTCGTCCACGTTCTCTTGGTCCGATCGTCAGCTACTCCGCGAAGCGACACGCAAGGCAAGCGAGCACTCAACACTTGAAAAGACGATGAGTCACAGGAAATCCAATAACGCCATCTAGACAATAAGAGATACACGGCTTAGCCCTCTTGGTGGTTGTCCGATTTCCTCGGGCCAAAGAATCACAAGTGGTGGCTTGCTAAGAACAAGCTTAAGTCATGGCCAAGCTAGTATGGCTTTACGATAAACAGTTTAAGCCAGAGCTTATCCAGAGCAAACACCACGGCTCACGATCTTTCGATCCGGTGTCATTGGGTTGACGGGGATTGGAAATCGGGCCCCAAGAAAGAAGATCGACGGGGTTCGGCTCTTATAGCCTTATCCCGCAAGCCACAATTGGACACGGGTAGCAAACAAGAACGAATAACACTATTGTAACTTGGCTCCAATGTACTTTGGCTCACCCACTATGGTAGGAAGCGGTAGCGCAAAGAGGTTGGACAGCGACGGGTCCTCTCGATCCACCCGACACATCAACGTCGGGAGCCAAGGAGGTAGTCGTTCAACACGGCAAAAGCAGCGAGGTTAGCTAGGCATGTCCATGTTATGTTCCCAGTCACATCTTCGGGAAAGATGGTTTTAGACGGTCGATCAGGTCGACACGCACGGGTCCAAGGTACAACATAGACCATAGCTTCGCTAACAAAAGGGAATAGTCCGGTCTTTGTTCCAATCGTCACGGGCAAGACGGGATCGAACAGAGCGGCTATCGGGGCAATAAGAGCAAGAACAACCAAGAGCAAGGTCTACTTCTAACGCACATGCCACGACAAAGATGAGGCATAGGAAGGAGCGACACTCAAGAACACCAAGTGCGTAAGCCACTCATAGGGTACCCAACCTGGGTGCGCTGGCACTAAGATATCTCTCGGATTCGAAGCGGTGCGGTTGTCACCGCGAGAATCAGAGAAACGTGATGGTCAAACGGGGTACAAGCATACAAGGGCTTGAGTACGAAGAAGCAACTAAAAGCGAAAGAGAGGCGTGGCTCCATGGTCATGGCGAGGTGAACTCGCGGCCACACGCTATGCCAACGAGTTGGCATTCATCGTTCCACGATTGTCTACTCCTAGGTTTTCTCCCACAGAACTTGGTCACGAAGGGCTCAAAATGTGCGGGTAATATCCGCATCGATATTGCCATTGATATTGAATCCATCACGTCCATGTTCTAGGGCCGAAGACAGGAGCTAACGCTCATGGTACTCTGAAGTCAACTAAAAAGCGAGGGGTCGAGTTACACTCGGCATCACGGTCACGGCGAGACAGATCCCACGATCGTAACGTCCGAACGGGGTACGATCCCTCAGCCAGCTCGAAGGCTCGGCACATAGGCAACAACACCAACAACCAGCGATAAGAACCAAACACGACCGAAAGACGCAACAACTCGACACGACTGCAGAGTAGCACATTCCATAGCTAGGTGATAGGTGAATTCCTATAAGACAGTCATGGATAGATAGGTTGTAAGAATAGGACCCGACAAGGTAGATATGCGTATATGGAAAGATGCGAGATGGGGCTTTCTATGGTCTTGGTAAGACATACGACTAGGGTTCATGGCCCAGAGGGTACGGCTTGCGGTAGATGGGGTCATGGCAGTCTCGGCAAGCGAGGCCATGGTGGTCTCGGCCAGCGAGGCCATGGTGGTCTCGGCAATGGTGGTCTCAGCAACGGTGGTCTCGGCAACGGTGGTCTCAGCAATAGTGGTCTCGGCAACGGTGGTCTCGGCGATGGTGGTCTCGGCAACGGTGGTCTCGGCAACAGTGGTCTCGGCAACAGTGAAGTTGGTGAGATCGCGGGGGTGGTCGGAGAGATCACTGAAGTGGTCGGAAAGATCACCGTCGTGGTCGGAAGGCTGACCGAGGTGGTCGGAGTGGTCGTCGATGTGGTCGGAGAGATTGCCGAAGTGGTCGGAAGGGTTGTGGCTTCATCTGGCGGTGAGGCCCAGCTACTGACTCTTCTTGGGCTGTAATTTGTGGTTGGCTACAAGTGGCTATGGTTGGCCAAGGCTGGCTATGGCTAGCCAAGACATGGCCAAGGCTTGGTCGAATGATGGTTGTTGTTCATGGACTTAGCTCCAGTGGCTGTGGCGTTGGCTTGCACACGTGGCTCAGCGTAGGACTGCGCATGGGCATGTTAACGGACGCGGCGGTGTGGTCCCGAGGCTCACGCGCGACGTCATGCGAAAACGCGGCCGTGCGTCACCACATGCAAGTGAGCATGCATAAGTCCACGGCTCGTGGCGTGCGTCCATGAACGACGGGGCGAAGCAAGGCAGGAGCTCTTGGGATGGTGTGTGTGCGAGCACGAATGGCAGTGGTCAATTGTAGTGGCGGCAAGGCTCATGCCAAGCCATCTGCGGTGCTAACGAGTGAGTGCAGCGCGTGCTGTCGCTGGCGGCGGCCATAAAAACTCTGTCTTGGTCTTGGTGGCAAGGTGAGGGCAAGTGTCCCACGGCCGCAAGGCTCTAGGTCCGTGTGTGGGGGCTAGGCAAGTCCAAGGCACACCTACACCCCCCCACCGGAAATCACGAGGGTTACGCTAGCATCGGCTAAACAGGGGCAGTCTAGGTGTTGTGTACGGTCTCCAGGAGTTCGGTCATGGCCGTGGCTAGGACGTGGCGTTCTCGGTATACTCGAGCTCATGGTGTTCACAAAAGGGCGGGCATGGGCTTATGCTAGCTCTACTAGTCCTCGGGGGTCGGAACATGGCTGATCCATGGCAGAATCTGGCCATGGCTAGCATGGTGGTCGTGTCTGGGCGGCGTCGGCGTTCCCGAGCACCAGTGGCTCGGCAAGGCCACGCTTGGGCCATGTGCGTGCGTGCATGTGTTCGTTGGTCCAAGGGCCGTCCTTGTGCTAACTCTACTGGTTCTAGGAGGTCGGAACGAGGCGGTGTCATGGGAACGCGGCGGCGCTTCGGTGGTGCACGGGCAGACACGGTCAGCGGCTCGAAGGCCGGTCAGGTAGGCATCAAGACATTAGACAAAACATGGGGTTGGTCATGGTGTCCGGTCATACTCTGACCGATTCTTG